TGTTTCCCACAGTACTTTGTGTAATTTCAACATACCTGCTATTTACTTTTCCTTCTATTACGATTATTTAGTTTCATATCCAAGTTCATTAGACAGTATGCTTTTAGAAGATAGGGATTGTATATGTGTTTCCTATGACTCTCTCTTTCCAAAAATCCACCCCAGTACTCATAATAGCTATTGTGTTTGTACATAAAGGAACAATGATCTTTCATCTTCCTATTTTGACTCAATTATGTCTATGTTACATTTAATAACACTAGTTTTAAAACTATTTTATTCACATTAGCACAAATTGTGTATTAATGCAAATTAGATTAAGTAGCAATTAAATATATAAAACTATGAATATAAAGGTCCTTTTGCTGTAATGACATAAAACTTTTAAAATAATTTCTAATTTGCTCAGTTGATTCAGTTTTAATATATAAATTATGCATTACCTGTTAAAAAAATTAATTGTCATTTTAAGAGAACTTTGCAAATCTACACTAATATAAATATGCAAATTGACTGAACCTCTGCTACACCCACCAGCCATGCCCACCATCCAATTAGGAGCGAGTATGCAAATTAACCCAACAAATACGGCACGCGGCCATGTAGCTGCAGCAAGCAGGAGAATTGGACTGCCTCTGTGGATGGAGGAAGCCAAGCTTCCTGCCTACCCTGGCCAGCCCTGGCTCTGCTCAAGGCTACAAAGTTTCAATTATAGAAGATAAATAAATCTCAAATACCTGCTTCTAGCTGGCCCTGGCCTCCACTCAAGGAGGCGATAAAAAAAAAATAAAAAAAAGGAGGGGCTGGGAAGTTGGGTTGTTGGGGGGTGTGGCCAGCCTGCAAACGGCCAACAGCCCATCAGTCAGGCTTGCCAGGCACCCCAGGGGAGACCTCCACCCTAAAGAGGATGTGGCCAGCCTGCAAACAGCCCTCAACCTTCACCCAGGCTGGACAGGCATCCCAGCGGGGACCCCCACCCTGAATGGGCTGTGGCCAGCTTAAAAACAGACCTCAGCCCCTCACCCAGGCTAGCCATGCCCCAAACCACCAGCCTGCAAACCACCACAGACCCCTGGCCCAGGCCACCCCACACCCCAAGGGAACCGCCACCCTGATCCAGGACACCCTTCAGGGCAAACCAGCCAGCCCCCTCCCATGCACCAGGCCTCTATCTATACTAATAAAAAGATAATATGCTAATTAGACTGGGAGACATTCCTGGAGACAAAGCTATGGTGGTGGGGCTGAGGTAGAGCCGTTAGAGGCCAAGAGGGGAGGGCAGTTATGGGTGATCAGGCCAGAATGGGACAGCAGTTGTGAGTGTTCAGGCTGGTGGGGGGCAGGGCCATTGGGAGTAAGCAGACTAGCAGGAAGGTCAGTTGGGGGTGAGCACAGGGGGAAGTTGGGGGTGATCAGGCAGGGTGGGCATACAGGGGCAAGCAAGCTGGCAGCAGGGGGGCATTTGGGGATGAGCAGGCCATCAGTGGGGGGTCAGTTGGAGGTGATCAGGATAGCAGGGAGGGGCATTTTGAAGTGAGCAGGCCAGGAGGGGGGCAGTTGGGGGCAAGCAGGACAGTGGGGAGGGAAGATGAGGTGAGCCGGCCAGCAGGGGGGGCAGTTGGGGGTGAGCAGGCTGGCAAGGGGGGCAGTTAGGGGTGAGGATACTGGCATGGGGGCAGTTGGGGGTGATCAGGCTGGTGGGGAGGGGGTAGCTGGGGGAGAGCAGGCAGGCAGGCAGGTGAGCAGTTAGGAGCTAGCAGTCCCAGATTCCAAGAGGTATGTCCGACTGCTGGTTTAGGCCCGATCCCTGTAAACCAGCAGTAGGATATCCTTCGAGGGGTCCCAGATTGGAGAGGGTGCAGGCCAGGCTGAGGGACACACACGTACCCTCCGATGCATGAATTTCATGCACAGGTCCACTAGCACAGTATAATAGGCATTCTTTATAAATTTTCTAAATTGTTCTAGCCTTTAAAATATTATTTTAAACACAAAGAACCTAAACTGTTTTTAGATGAATAACTCTCTTGTGGCTCATACACATAATAAATACCTGAAACTGGGGTTTCAGTAATATTTTTAATATGTTTAATAAATGCCAGGTCACCCCAAATATGAACACAATATTACTTTAAAAGTCTCTAAAATATATATCTAAAATTGATAAGAGATCAATATATGTAGTTTTAGAAATCATTGCTTTAATATGTTTTAGAAATAATTTTATTTATAACACTGTAAATTATAATTTTTGTTTCTAAATTTAAAATTATTCTCCAAAATTCTGTTATTTGCCATAACCAAATAACAAAGATGCCATCGAGTGTCTGAGGAACTTATATTATACCATCATCTACCTTAATCAAATGTTCCTACCAAAACGTCACAATGTTACTAGTTTCCCTTTAAATAAATAGCCGCACCAGTCCATCACCACACATTCCACCCCATCTCCACCCGTGTTAAGTCCCATGCCTTAATTTGCTTTTTCATTTTTCCCACCATTATTTTTATTCAAAGAATTCTCTTTTTAAAAAATGTACCCTGACACTTGAAATTCAATGGTTATATTTCTATCGTTCTTTTCCAAATATGCACAAGTAAATTTAAATTTGGAGGTAGGTTGAGAACAGAAAAAGGTTGGAAGTATAAATCAACTCCACAAACTAAACGGTATATTTTGTACTGCAAAGTAACATTTCAAAGGATAAGTCAACTTCAATGTTTAAGAAAAATATTAAATAGTACAAAAGGAGTCATTTTAAGCACTATAAATTAGATTAGACTGAAAAAGAAAAATACTAAATGTGATTCATAAAAATGTCATGGTCAAGTATATCACTTCACTAACCCTTATTGATCTATGCTATATAAATTCACTCAGTTCAGCAATATAAAGGCATTCTTAAAGCCTCACATAAGTTTGAGGTAATTCCGAAATCCTGATTTGTTTTGTTTTGCATTTTTGCTTAAAGTTTCAATAGCAGTACAATAATTTAAGAAACAGAATCTTAATAATTTTAGATCTCCAAGATCACTGCCTTCTTGTTTTAAAATATTACAGATTAACTCAACATTTAATTTTTCATTCTATTTGCATTTAGCTAAAAGTGACAACCCAAAGCATTTCAATTACCAATCCTACTTATGATGTGTGTAGGCACATTTTAAAGTAAAAACTCTAGGCCTAAAGTCATTAAAATGTAGAACTGGAAAATCAAGTATATTATTTATCCTAGAAATATTTTACTATTATTTCTTGGGGCAAAAAGAGATATCGCTATTATATCTGTGTTCCCTTCTCTTGTTCTCCCAGTTTTAGCCTCTTCTTTATTCTCTATGTATACTGAATTCTGAGGTTGGTCACTTCATTCTCTACCACTCAGCTTGTCCTTTGTTTTCCATCCCACTTCATTCTTTAACCACCTTCCCCAAACAACCGAAGAATTGATGAAAAATAATCATACCAGTTTACCTATATTTTCAACAAAAATACAAATTGATCATTTCATCTCTGTCCCTTGATATCTATCTTCAGTCAGATCCCTCTTCTATTCACTTTAATGGGCTATCAAAACATGACACTTTTTTTTTCAATTTTGTGCCCACTCAATTATCAGCAGATGACCTAAGCTTAACACTTCATATCAAATTGAGACAATCATCTAGAAATGCAAACTTCCTGCCCACCCTGAGTCCACATCATTGCTTCCTTCCTCGCAATTTACAGAAAGCATTCTGTCTTGATGTTCTTAATATCATCTCCTCCAGAAATGAATGATACTGGTCCATCATTCATCTTTTAATATTTTTATTCAACCACTCCCACTCTAGTTTTATCCCACCATCCTTAAGTCTCTCCTAATCTTTAAAAAAAAAAAAATGTCCGCAATTCTGAATGGTTTCTATAGTTTCCATCCAATCTCTTCTCAATATCTATTAAGAATTCCTATGCAGACTAAGTAAACTCATTTATATTCCTTTTTATTCAATACAATTAATTTTTATATCCATCATTAGCATTTTTGCACTGCTTTTCTCTGTACCTCCTTTGCACTTAGATTTTCCTCTGAGTTCCAATCTTCATGCTCTTCTCATTCTCTACCCTCAAAATTCCTTACATATACATTCAATTGCCTATAAAATCTCCACCTGAATATTCCTGAGATATATCAAGTCAACTAATCATTTCTTATACTTTTCTCTACTTTAGTATGAATTTTTATCTGTTTGGTGAAACTGAAATTTACCAAACTATAATACACAGTAACAAGAGGACCAATCTAGAATTCTCCATTTTCCTTGTCACTGCTCTAGATCCAAGCAATAAGAAATTCTTTAAATTAGCCGAAACCAGTTTGGTTCAATGGATAGAGCATCGGCTTGGGGACTGAAAGGTCCCAGGTTCGATTCCGGTCAAGGGCATGAACCTTGGTTGCGGGCATATCCCCAGTAGAGGGTGTGCAACAGGCAGCTGATCGATGACTCTCTCTCATCGATGTTTCTAACTATCTCTCTCCCTTCCTCTCTGTACAAAATCAATAAAATATATTTTAAAAAAAAAGAAAAAAAATTCTTTAAATTAAACCCACAAATTTCTTTCTTCATTTCACACCCTCATGACCACTATCTCTTTTGGATTATTATAAATAGCTCTCTTAGGCAACACCTCACACAAGATTTCTATGTTCTGGTCTCAATTTCACAAATCTGTTCTCTATGAAATTGTTATAATTAAGTTACTGAAAATAAATCAGATTATAACATCTATTTAATGTTTATAACTACTGACCCTTTAGTTATTTTGCAAGACCTTTTGTGACCTGATCCTAACTATGCAATCTCATTTTCTCCTCTCCAATACCCTATCCCCAAAATTAAAAAAAAATTAAAAAAAAAGTTTAATATTCTTTTGAACATATACCCATAGAGTTTAAGATCATTTTATCTGTGTGTTTTGTCCCTCTGCATACAAAAGCCTTCTCTAGGTGCATGCATACCAGATAAATCTTTAACCTTGAAGTTCTGGTTTCTTTTTGACTTCCATTCCACAATGATCTTTTCCAGGTAGAGTAAATCACTTCTTCCTCTGGGCTATCCCTGTATTCTGTACCTATTCCTGTAACGCCATCACATTCTATAGTTGGCCTTACTAAAAAACTCAGAATTTATCTTTTTCATGATACCCATGAATGGTTTATGAAGAAATATACTCTATTTGACATATTACTTTACCCTGAAATAAAAGCATTTTGAAGGCAAAGTATAAAAAACAAAACAAACAAAAAAAGACCCTGTAAATTTTGAAGGAATAAATCTGAAATCCCTAATCAGGCCAAAATATTATAATATTCAAAGGGAAAATAATTACCTTAGCTCACAGAAAATAGTGGAGGAAAAGTGATTCTCTAAAAATACAGAGAGGTTAGGAGCCCAGGATCAGAGTTTTTTCTCAGAATACACATGAAATACTTAGCACTGTGCGTGGAACACAATGATATGTTCTTAAAAATTAATGCTATTACCGTTAACATTATTAACTAAAGTGACTAGGTTTGGACAAATTAAAGGCTATTTTATTTTAGGTCACAGATACTTTTGATCTTGGTTCTAAAAATTATGAATTCCACCAAAGAAAAAAAACTTAAGAGCGGCTTCTTATATTAGTAAATATGATAAAGTATACCTACCTTTATTACTTCCTAAGCAATTAATTTATAATGGTCTTTTCCTTAATTAAAATTATTATATCATCAAGAAATTCTACTGAAGAGATTTACAATTTCTTCTTGCTAAAAGTTCCTCTGTTACTATATATTAAAAAAAGCACCAAATAATTAACACCGCAAACTGTAAAGCAATACTTTTCTTACAGTTGTAAGACTTGCTTTACCTTCAGGGGCATCTGCATCACATCTCTTTGGCACAGAAAGGGTTGAGTTGCCTTTATGGTCATCATAAGTAATATTGCTCTGAAACATGAAAATTAAAAATCATATTTTGATTCCAAAAGTAATCACATTAACTTTATACTATGTTTTCTATTCAACTACATCTAACTAATACTCTAAATAGTAAGTTTTAAGATAAATTTAACATGGATATTTTATTGCAACAATCCTTAGGTCCTGTGATGAACAACAGAGCTTCTTCCCAGAGAAAGAACCCACTTATTTTTCCACAGTGAAGCAAAAAAAGGATATCTTTGGTCCATGTAAAAGCACAATCTTCATTCAGTCAAAGAAAAAAGTTTAAAAAGTATGACCCAGTGAATTACGTGCTGGGGATGAGGCAAGAAAAGGATTAAAAAGTATAAAGTAAGATTTATGATTTGGGTGATCTTCTAGTATTGTGTTTCCCAAACTCCCCATTCCTGTACCTCCACTATGATTGTTCCTCCCACATTATTACTTAACTTTATTTAATGAACTAACTTTTCAATACTTAGAAATATTATAGACGGTATTGATTGAAGGTTTGATGTGCTAGTTAGATGCTTTTGTCCCTAACTACATGTTCAAGTACAAAAGAATGGAGGATAAAGTACAGGATAAAAAAAAGGAATGAAATGAGCAGACTAGATTAACAATAAGACTCTATTAAAGCAAGGCTTGAACAAGACCCTGAAACATGGATTAGATATGAATATTTTAAGGAAAGGAAAAAAACAACTAAATAAAGGTTGAATCAGACATGGCCAAAATGTTTTAAATTGTCAAAAAAAACAAATTAGCTGCCCAATTATAAACAGGAACCACAGCTGCTTTTGGAAGATCAACATTAAAAAAAAAAAAATCAGTGTCACAGGTAAGAGAACACTCAGTAACCTACAAATAAAATATTTATAAATGCACCTCACAGTACTGATGAACAGACATATTTTTCTTACCAAAACTTTTTAAGGAACTATATTAATGAATTTACTTAAAATGCTATTTTAGAGGAAATGATACGGGTTTTATTCATGTTCTTATGTAAAGCTCAGTAGAATCCATCATGGGATCCATTTTTAAAATATGTTAATAAATAGTGTTTTATTTTTAAAAAGAACTTGTAAGAAACCAATATAAATATGCTAAAAAATTGAATAAAAAAAGTTTAGCAAAGTTAAATTTAATCTGATGAGCTCATATCTTATGCTAGCTTTCATAAATTAAAATTTGCTTTAAAAGATCAGATTACTTAAAATATTAAAATAATGAATTTTAGGTTTTGCACTTACCTCTATTAAGTAATTTTGGCTTCCATACATAACATACTGGGGAGCAAGACTATAAATCATATAGCTAGTGTGAAGTACAATAAGCAGAAGTATCATGCACAGAAATAAGAGTGCCTGGGGCCTGGTCCTGCCTCTTCTGATTTTATATAACTGGAAAGAAAAAAAGACAGTAGCAACATTTTAGCAATATATTTATTTGTAAGGCACTAAGTCCTGCTCATGTTTTAGGGGCAAAGAACACAGTTTAATCAACCATTTCTTTTTTCAAAATAAATACTAAGAATTCTTAATCATTCCAAATAATTATAAGGATAGTAAAAATAATTTTCTCCCTGCACAGCTTTCAGGTTTAGATTTGTTTAAAACGAGAGGCTCAGTGCATGAAATTCGTGCATGGGAGGGGGTTGTCCCTCAGCTCTGCCTGTATTCCCTCACAATCCAGGACCTGTTGTAGAATGTCCGACTGCCAGTTTAGGCCCTATCCCTCTCACAATCTGGAACTGCTGGCTCCCAACTGCTCACCTGCCTACCTGACTGATTGCCCTTAACCACTCTGCCTGCCTGCCTGATTGCCCGTAAGTGCTCCCCTGCTTGCCTGATTGCTCCTAATCACTCCTGCCTGCCTGTGTGATCGCCCCTAACTGCCTTTGCCTCTACCCCTGCTGCGGTGGCTTTGTCCAGAAGGTCATTCGGCTGTCCGGTCTAATTAGCATACTAAGCTTTTACTATAGACTAGTAGTTCTGTGCATGAATCCATGCACCAGTAGCTCTCTGCAGGGCCTGGCTGCTCCACACTTGTTGTCCAGAGGCTCTCTGCGGCCCAGGGCGCCACCATCTTGTGGCTATGGGTGCTTCCATCTTTGTGATGGAGTGACAATTAATTTGCATATTACCCTTTTATTAGACAGGATCATGACAAAGCATTTACATATAAAGGAACCTTTAAATTATTCATTAAAAACTGAGGACCCAGAGAATATATCAGTATTTGAATGGTCTGTTTCCAGACAAACATTCTAAATTTATTATGCAATAGCATCTGTCAGATGTTCATAGAGCTAAGAACTACCTCTAATTCTATCTAAAAGTTAGAAGAATTAGTTTAAACTCGAAGTATTTATTTGTGGTTTTATATAATAATACACAAGAATTACATCACTATAATACTCATTTCTGTGAAATACTCAACATCCTCATACTGTCATAAAATCTAGTTTATGATAATATGACTATATACTCTCATATATACCTATACTAGAACAAAACTAAAACATATGCTTCAATGGCAGAGCACACTTTTATTTTAGCAACTAAGGTACCACCTACCTGTTTTATTACTAGATTGATAAAATAACCTAAAATTTTACCTTTCCCAGCTTCCCTTGTACCTAGTAGTGGCCGGCAGTGATAAAATATTAAATATCAAAGAAAAGTCAAAGTCTATTGGAGATTTCTGGGAAAGTTTTGTTTTATTATAGGTGTCACTGCTTCCTCCCAACTAACTTTTCCTTATGTAAAGTGGACAGGGTAAATAGAGATATTGGATTTGACATGTTTGAGATAGTAAACCAATGTTAGATTTTTTTTTTTTTTCCTTAGCAAGAAGTCACTCATTAGTTCAAGCCACTATTTAGATGGTTTTTCTTATACTTACAGGTGGAAGTAGTCTCTATCTGATACAGCTTCATTTTAAAACTAGAGGCTCAGTGAACAGAAATTCATGCACAGGGGAAGAGGAATGTTACTCAACCCAGCCTGCATCCTCTCCAATCTGGGACCCCTTGAGGGATGTCCGACTGCCCGTTTAGGCCCAGACTAACTGGGCAGTCAGACATCCCTTTCACAATCCAGGACTGCTGGCTCCCAACCACTCGCCTGCCTGCCTGCCAGCCTGATCAACCCCTAACCACTCCCCTGCAAGCCTGATCGATGCCAAACTGCTCCCCTGCAGGCCTGGTTGCCCCCAACTGCCCTCCTCTGCTGGCCCGGTCACCCGTAACTGCCCTCTCCTTACAGGCCTCATCGCCACCAACTGCCCTCTCTTTTAGGCCTGGTCCCTCCCCTGCTGGCCTGATCACCCACAACTGCCCCCTGCTGGCCATCTTGTGGTGGCCATCTTTGACCACATTGGGGCAGCCATCTTGTTTATTGGAGTGATGGTCCATTTGTATATCACCTCTTTATTACATAGGGTTCTTAATTCACCTCAAAATGAACATGAGAAGAAAGTACCCCTTTCTCTAATCATGTAATGATCTTTACTTCCTAGTAGAAAGGAGCATCTTTTGAACAACAGAATATCCAATTGTGCTTCAATGTGTTTTCTGAAGCCAAACATTAAGGGAAATAATTTAAATTCTAGACCAGAGCTTGTCATCCTTGACAGGGGTGACATTATTGGCTGAATGAGTTCTTGTTGTCTGAGGCTGCCCTGTGCACCACAGAATCCCTGGCCTCTATCAATGAGGTGCCAATAGCGCCCCCTAGTGGTAGTAGCTGAAAATATCTCCAACATTGCCAAAAGTATCCAGGGGGTAAATCACTCCTATTTAATAACCATTGCTCTATACAAAAGCACTTTTATGTTAGCATAAAGTAAAAAACTAATTTTCAATCACTTTTAGTATCAATGTATTTATAACTCCTATATTATAAATCTAAGATAATTTTCAATAATAAAGAGTATGAAAATGAAATAATATTGTAATATATACTCACTCTAATCCAAAAGAACCATATGCCAATATTTCTAATCCCCGCCATTGAAGTAAAAATAAAGTACATAATAATAATTGTTATAAGAATGTAATCAAGAGGGAAAACCTAAAAATAAAAAAAAATAAAAATTAAATTCAACACACATGCAGGATTTTAGAAGTCATACAAAATTAACTAAAATGTCATTATTTATATTTGGCAAATGTTTAAAATATCAACCCTGATTTAGATCTATAAAAATAAAAAATAAAAATGGTTTTTATTATACTCTGTTTAAATGGTTTTTCTTATACTCACAGGTGGAAGTAGTCTCAATCTGACACAGCTTCATTTTAAAACTAGAGGCCCAGTGCACAAAATGTGTGCATGAGGTGTGTGTGTGTGTGTCCCTGAGCCCAGCCTGCACCCTCTCCAATAAAATACTATAAAAAAGATATAAAATTTTTTTTTAAAACTACTATAAAAAAAACTCACCAAAACAATTACCAAACTATTACCAAATTGTTTAGTACCATTATCATAAGAAAAATCCTATAACAAATTAAGCTAGAAATTACATTTAAATATGAATAAAAACCTTCATCAAAAATTAAAAACAGGAATTGCTTAAAAAGCTTACTTTAAAGCTCAGCAATATACCAATATAGTAATCCTTAAAGCAACATATCAATGTAAAAGTAATGTATAAATAAAAAGCCAAATCAGCAGAGGGCACAAGCATATCTTGCCAAGTATTAATATGTTTTTCAATGTAATAATTTGACAGTTTGTAAGAATATGTGCTAGAGTATAAAATGATTGTTCTTTTTACTTACTCTTTGTAGTAAAGGCAAAAGCATATTTAGTGGATTACTCAGATTAGTTCCAAAAATTATGAAACCAGAATTGATTCCAGCTGAATGAAGAGCTTTATCCAAACTAAAAAAGTAAAATAAAAATTATAGTG